CCATCCCCTCTAAAGGGGCATGGAAATCACACACTAACACTGAATCTTGGAGCCTGGGCACCTCCCTGCCTGCAGTACTGACACAGAGCCCCAAGTAAACCTGAGGGGCAGGGAAGTGTCCTGGTTTCGCTGGTATAGAATCATAGAATCAATTTTCTACTCAGGAGAGCTGCATTTTCGAGAAGACTGCAGAATACAGTTCAGTGAAAACAAAGTTGATAAGACACCTTGTTGTCATTTGTGGCCAGCCACGGTATGTGGGTCTCCATAGTGATCAAGGTCTTTAGCAGTTTTGAGTTAGCCAGGTGCTAAAGCTAGGAAAGCGAGAGTCAGGGCAGTGATCCAAGCTGGCCAACAGAAGTATTCCATACTATAAATGTCATGCTCACTATAAATTGGAAAGTTTGCTGGGGATGGTCCCTTTTCCTTAATAGTGGCTTGCCCATCATTCTGCTCCTGAGGCCCACTCACGACTGTTGTGACTGTCGCGCTTGTGCCGGAGCTGTGGTGCTCGCAGTGCTTGACATCTAGCATCCACTGCTGGGAGTATGCGGCTCACAACCACTACACGTGCTGAGTATAACTTTGTGTACTTTATATTAGTATTACTTTTCTTATTCTATTAAATCTGTTTCCATTTCAGCCCATGGGTCTCGTTTCCTTTGCCCAATTCCCCTTCTCTGGGAGGTCACTGGGTGATAGAACAACTGACTAAACGAAGACAGGAAGAAAGGCAAAAAAGGCAATGGAAGAAGAAAGGCAGACAAGGCAGCTCTCTGCCTGATAAAAAACAGTGTTTCTTGATGAGCAATGGTTCTGCATAGCCACGGAAAGCTGGAATCCAGCTAAGAAGCATCATAATTCCTTCTCTCCCCCCGTGGGCCTACGGAAGAACCTCCCCTCACCTTCTGCATCTTGAGCATGTCAATCCCAAAGTGAGCAAGGTGTTCTGCCAGGTTGGGATCCAACACCATATCATCCTCATCATAGGAGTAGACGTCTACGCAGGAACACAGAGGAAAAGAAGAGACTTATCATAGCCTGTGATCTAACATTCACTAACAGAGTGCTCAGAACTGGGAGTTTTGACAAACTGAGCAGTTGCTGTTTCTCTCCTTTCTCAGGAGAGCAGCCCAACAGGCAGAATATTGAGGTTCCTCCAAGAGATGCGACAAAACTAACAACTTTGTCATTGATCAAGGTACAGAGGTACATGTACGTCTAGAGTGAGGAAAGTGCGTTACTGTGCCATATATGCTCTGCTCAGGCTTCGGACACAAAATCATTTGATAAACCTCCCACCACAGAAAACAAAACAGCAACCTGGATAACTATTCTAAACCCCTGCAAATTACAAGAAAGGGGAGGAGGAAGGTAAGGTTTTATCAGCTGGTTCTTTGACAGCCACAAGAAGCAGGTCAGAGTGAGAAAGTTCACAATAGGATGACACTGGTCATAAGATGGGCAACAACAGCCTGGAAATCCTCCCTGATTTCCCTTGTCAGAGACCACAGTCAGCCTGAGTGGTGCCTGGTGCCTAGAAGCTGTGAGGACAGGACCCCACTTCTCACCTGCCCCATCAGGAGTAATTGTTCCCAGTTTCACAGCCAGTGGGTAGCCAGTTTCCCGGTAATGCTCCACTGCGTGATTGTTGCCACCACTGCCATCAAAATAGCGCCGACCGCAGAGGATGGCTCCATCAGTCATGTTCAGCCACAGGTTCTCCCTCATGTCACACTTGCTGCATTTCCAGCCACTATTGACAAGGAACAGAGAAAAAGAGATGAGGGTGAAAATCTTACATTTCTACCTCCCAAGCTCTCTCCATTACTGCCCACTGATCATAGCACAAGCAATCTCATTCCTCTTTTACTTCAGAACACTGAGCATCCTGAAATATCTTAGTTTGCCATTTCCCCCGAATCTACTATGATAAGGCACACTCAGAGACTCACAAAAGAAGTCTCATCTGCTGCTGCAGTCCAGGACAGGAGAAGAAGGTGATGAGGGTGGGTCTGGGATACAGAGCGATACAGCTAGTTTATGCTCACCACGGTGGGATGCGGACATCATTCTGAAGTTGGTGCAGGGAAAAAGCGTGTTTGGAAACACGTCGAACCTCCCCATCCCATGCCTGTACCTCCTGCTTCCGTGACGCTGAATCTGCTGTCAGGATGGCCTCGACTGCACTGGCAATCTGGAATTAGGACAGCAGGAAAAAAAAAAAAAAAATGAATGGCACAAGGAGAGAAGCTTCCAGTGCCACAACACTCCACATTTAGGCTCAGATCAGCAGGTCAGTTGTGCCAGGGCAGCATTCAGGAGCCTCAGTCACAAGCTAGGACTCCGTAATATTACGCACTGTACAAGCACAGAACAATCCTGCTTACTGCGAGCTGAAACTTCACAGTAGCTCTGTAGGATCCCTTTTACCAGACAGTGGTTCCTTCTCTGTAATGGTGCAGTTCCTCCCTACCAATAGAAAACACAGCTCTCCATGCAAACATACCCTGTCTCTGACCTTGTCTGGTATTCCCTCCAGCCCATCACGAGGAATATCCAATTGCTCTGGGAAAATTACTATTTTTACATCTTCGTCATATTCAAACTTTTCCTCTGTGATGTCAAATCCACCTTCTACACCTACAGGAAGAAAAACCATTGATATAACAGGTAACACAAAATATCTTGTAAAGCTTCTTTGCCCATAGCTTACACAAAATAAGGCACCATGGCTAAAGAAAAGCTGTAGAGCAACTATCCATAATTTTTCTTTTGTTTCTGGATCCCAAAGTTTCTGCCGGAGGTGTGGACTTCACAGGAGCAAACGTAAGCCTAGCAACAATAGGTTTCCTTTTCACAGCTCTTTACTCACTTTTCACAGCTTACTTTTCACTTTGCTTAGAAGCATCTCCAAACCCTGACTACAACCAGAAAAAAGACCTGCTCTAGAGAGACACTGGCCAGAACAGAGCCATGATAAAGCACTGCTGTTCATCCTTCACTGTATATCCAAGATGAAGAATGGAGATGTGCATGCAGAGATCATATTCTAACCCAATGCGAAGGTCTAGTCTACCAGCATCTTTAAGGAGCTTGACTCCGCTTCTTGCCTTTTTCAGGAAGGACAGTTCAGAGTCCTGAACTTAAGCAAGGACAACCAGGAGTTCCTCTGGAACCAGAACATCCAGAATTACAGGAAAAGTCTTAGGAAAGGTGCAGTGCTAGAAGTTTCTCAAGCCCACCTAAGCCAAGCTTTCCAGAGGTTGCAACAGAAATGGGAGTTCCGTACATAAGAGGTTATTTGTCAGTTGTCAAGAGTCATGACAGACGGTCACCAAAAAGTAACACTTGCAGTGGAGGGAACAGTTTCTGATTTATGTAGGTACTCAGGAATAAACCCTGGCCTCTCCTGTTCTTCAAGCGTTCACACCTTACAGCCCAGAAGAAAACAGGCAGAAGACATATTGCTTACTAGCAGACTTAACCCTCTATGTGTTTTTTTTAACTGAATTTCCTTTATTTCTTTAAAAATGGCATGCTGTGACTGGAACAGATCTCTGCAACAGATCTCTGAAGCCCTTTTTCCCCCCCACATACAACCAACAGCTTGCCACGAGGTACACTGCCTCCCTCTCCATGGTTGTATCTAAGCACCACAAACTCCAAGAGTCATCCAACCAACATGCAGGCATGGGAGGTAAGCATATAGGGGTTTTTGTCTCATGGAGGGGGAAGCTGAGGTACAGATCTCTGAAGATCTGTGGCTACAACAGACCTCTGAAGGGAATACAAGTTTTTGCTGTTTAGTGCCTCAGCCTCAAGAATCTTGTGTGACACAGTTCTGATACCCATTACTGCATTTAGTTAAAACATTGACAAAAAAAAAAGTTCCCACAATATCTCCTGCAACTCTCCTCTCAAATACCTACATTTTTCAGACTATGCACAAAGTGGCATGTGTGAATGCAGATGCTGCAAGCCTATTTTAGAAATACGTGAAAACAGTCACCAGCATCAGGCAACAACATATCCAGATAATCCTCTTCTGTGCCTCTTCGCCACATCCCAGAGAGCTCTCCTGTCACCACTTCATAGAGTAAAGCAATTCACAATCCCTCAGGGTATTACACAATTCCTGAACTCTAAACAAACTTAAACAGACAGGTAAGGTCCCCTCAGGTGCTTATGTGAACCTTCTGAGGCTCCAGATGAGGAAGAGGGTCTTCAGCCAGCAGACTGTTTCCTAGCCCTTTCCCCCCACATACAGCCAACAGCTTGCCACGAGGTACACTGCCTCCCTCTCCATGGCTGTATCTAAGCACCACAAATCCAAAATTCATCCAACCAACACGTGGGCGTGGGAGGTAAGCATACAGGGAGGGGTACAGCATACATGTCCCATGGAGGGGGAAGCTGAGGTACAGAGAGATCAAGGGCTACATTTTGCAGCCAATGACATTTTGCTCCTAAATCTTTCTAGTACTTTAAAAAATCTCCCATGTCAGGACTTGCTTAACCACCAGTTTAGTTAAAAAAAAAAAGAGGAAAACCCAAAATCTCTCCTAGATTTAAGATTGTTGCCCCAAAAGGCTAATACTTTCTTTTATTCTCTCCCGCTCCATTCACGCCACTAAGCTGTTATCACAGGCAGCTATTTGCTGACCCAGTGACAACACTTATCTCAAGACCTTTGTAGAATTGAGGATGCAGAAATAACTCATAATGCAGACTGGGCCTCATCTCTCCAAAACCAGCACAATCATATACATAAAAGCAATGGCTATTTGAAGAAATGTAGGTTGTGGTCTCAATTTTGCTAGAAGTGACCTTTGGGACTTCATTCACCTCACCATAAACCCAGGGAGCAGCTGAGGAAGGCTTAATATTGGTGTTTGCGCTGTGGCAGCAGTGGAGTCACCAGGCGTTGGCTACACAATGGCACAGCCAAGGAAGAAGTGACCAAAAAGCAAGACGTGCATGGTCCAGGTTCTGGATTTTCCTCTAGTGGTCATCATAGTGGTCAGCTTCCAGCAAGCCAAGAACCTGTTACTGCAAAAAGTGTTCCTATCTGCTTTATGGATCTCCATAATGGTTCAGAAATTACTAGCCGAGACTGCTCCAAATAAGCAGCATCTTCATTGATCATCATGACAGCCTTTTCAGTCTGTGCAAGACAGTAATGGAACACCAGCCCTGTTCTTCCAAAAAAAGGGCTTGTTTTTCTATATTTTAACGTTCACATGGATTTCCTCCAGTATCAGCCTGGTATTTCAAAGAATTATCGACCCCAAAATATTGATAGAGCATTTACCAGTAACTTCTTCCCCATCTATATAGATAACACTAGTTCAATATCTGAGAAGTTTAAAAAATAGTTTTTCTATCAAAAAACTTCTACTTTTCCCAGACTTACACATTTTCTGAAACTTACTTCAGCCCCACACTGGATGCATCGATATAAAGCAACAGCCTCACACTGGTTATACCCACACCAAGCTGAGCCAGGCAGATGGAGTTGAGAGAGGATGCAAATCATATTTATCTATAGAAAACACGATGCGACTTTGGACACAGAACAAAACTACCACCTCGACAACTGTTTTGCAGAAACTGCCCACTTAAGAAGACATCAAGTTTGAATTTGGTCAGGGATACTAGCATCAACTAGACCAGAAGAAAGGCAAAAGAGACGTGCCACAAAGCCAGGCAGCTCCAGAGGACGGGTTCAAAACAAGGACAATATGGTACGCAAGTGCTTTCTTACCAATAGCCAAGCGAGTTGGTTTCTTCCTTGGGGGGTCCCCAGCACTGGAGTTGGTGTCTTCTTCCTTCTATTTCATTGAGAAGAAATAGGGAAATAGAGTTAGGGGGACAGGGAAGCTGTGGCAAGCCTTAAGGATTGAAATTAAGCTACTCTGAAAACAGAAAGAGGCCAGTCAGAAATAGCGTGGGCAATCCATACAACAATTCAACAGAAGAAGAGCTGAAGAACTGGTGTACCTCAATTCACCAAGAAGATCATTAGTTATATTCGAGCAGAGAACCATAGAATGGTTTGGGTTGGATGGGACCTCAAAGATCATCTAGTTCCAACCCTCCTGCCATGGCAGGGACACCTCCCACTAGACCAGGTTGCTCAAGGCTCCATCCAACCTGGCCTTGAACCCTGTCAGGGAAGGGGCAGCCACAGCTTCTCTGGACAACCTGTTCCAGTGTCACCCACCCACACAGTAAAGAAGTTCTTCCTAATATCTAGTCTAAACCTGCCCTCTCCCAGTTTCCAACCATCACCCCTTGTCCCATCACTGCAGGCCCTTGTAAAAAGTCCCTCCCCAGCCTTCTCGCAGGCCCCCTTCAGGTACTGGAAGGCCGCTATAAGGTCTCCCCAGAGCCTTCTCTTCTCCACGCTGAACAACCCCAACTCTCTCAGCCTGTCCTCACACGGGAGGGGCTCCAACCCTCTGACCACCTTGGTAGCCCTCCTCTGGACTCGCTCCAAGAGCTCCATGTCTTTCTTGTGTTGGGGTCTCCAGAGCTGGATGCAGCATGTCTAGGTGGGGTCTCACGAGGGCAGAGCAGAGGGGGAAGAACCACCTCCCTCGACCTGCTGGCCACACATCTTTTGATGCAGCCCAAGATACTGTATCTGATTGAATACAGAGATTCAATTTCAGAACAAATTTCACTGTATGTATTTTTATTTTTTACCGGTTTACGTGTTCTTTTGAGGTGCAGGTAGACCCGCTGGCCTGTTTTCTGGTAGTGCTTTTCCACATATTGCTTCCCAAAGCCCAGGAACGTGTTCATGCAAATATACAAGCCACCATCTGACTCCTGGAAAGAAGGAGAGATAAAAACTGATGGGAGGTGATAAAAAATGCCACTCCAATGGCTAGGATAGGCACAGACTTACCTCCAAGAACACTATTCACTATTCATTACATCATGGCTACCGCTCATTCCATTCATTCCAGTGGCTGCCAGCCACTTAGTAGCTAGTTGGAAATAAGATGGCAAGCCCCAGCCTGGCTGTCCCAGAGGAACAGGTACTCCTGTCAAGATGATGTCTTTAAAACCCTGTTTGCCTGTTCCCGTATGGCAGGACTCTATTGCATCGGGAAAGCCTGAGCGATTCCTCAGAAGCTTATCTCACAAAAGGTCCTCAGCACGCACAGTTCACACTGTTCAGAGCACAGTACAACCGTTACCAACAAAACCATGCCACCCTGCCTGAAAGCGTAATCTCCAGTGCTGTAGGGAACGCTGCCAAACTACAGTGTGAGCAAGGTTAACAAACCACTCTTTATTTTTGCTGCTGCATTCAAAAGCCGGTGCGTAGCTCTGAAACGGATACAGAATGAGCCCTCCCCATTCCACAAGCATCCGCAAAACGCCACACTCATTCAGTGAGGACACGCTTTCTAAATCGACGAGGCGAGGGACCCAAATGCAGAGGCTTGAAAAGAGGGAAACTGCCAAGGGACTCTCAGCTGTTTCCCAACGTTAAGCAGCTGGGACAGAGTCAGAGCAGGGAGCACATGGACGGGCATCACCGTGAGGCTCGGGGAGCGAGAGACGGCCAGGCTGCCGTGTGCTGCTTCCTCGAAGGACCCGTATCTTCCAGACGCAGCCCATTTTCTTCTGGTGGGCTGGGGCACAGCCCGGACGGGCGCCGCGGAGGCCAAGGGGAGGACCTTGCCCTCTCACCACCTGGGCCTCCCCAGGACCGCCCAGGCCAGGCAGAGGTAGGCAGGGAGGAGCAGGGATGCCGGCGGGGTGGAGACGGCTGGAGAAGGGACCACTGCCATCTTAATGACACAGCACCGACTCGCCCCACGCCTGCCGGGCCACGCCACGC